CAGATATGTGTGTACGTCCCTTCAGATGGTGAAAGCCTGATTCAAGAGTGGAAAATGCTGCAGAAAAATTGCTTTTCTGGATTTATCTAGAGGAGAGTCTAAAAGACAGTCTGACAATAAACAAAACACATGTCAGTATCAGGAAAGCATTTCAGAGATGGACAGAAAATGTTGCTAATAGATAAGCCTCCTGCTAACCATAGCATAAGGTTCATGACTGCGGCTAATTCAAGTTCATGTTTATGTAGCTAGCTAGAGCCTCACATCACAGTATCTCATCTCAAAGGTCTTCAGACCCTCAAGTCTACCAAAAAAAGGGTAATTCTCATATAACTGCTGCTATGTAACAGCACCAAGACCACAATCATGCTTGGAATGACTGTTGTGAATGAGTATTACTCACACAGGTTATTGTATGAAGTGCATGCATATGCCCCCTACTCATCTGGAGGGGCTTATGCCATGTTCACACTGGAGGCAGGAGCACCCTAATATGTAAATTTTTGATAAGCCACCCATCAACAGCTGTCTGGCAGTTCACACCAGCAGCACAATTCTCCATGGAGGTCACTTAGCGATCCTGCTCCTCTGCTCTGTTCTCTTAACATGTAGAGCTCTGTCTCTGTTTCCTTGTGTGTATGTGTTTGTGTGTCTGCTCGTCTCTCTCACTCTCTGTTTTGACACAACTGACAAATACGTGGAAGCACTGGATGCATATTTTAGCATTTATCATAATTAGATCATTTATATCATGTCTAATATGTTCTTTATATCATTCATAAAAGATTATCTGTTTAATTTTTTTGCTAGATTCACTCATGGAAAAAAAGACCAGATGACAAAACTGTCTCTGCAAATCAGGAGCCAGAAACAAAGCTCGGGGCTGCAGCACGTCCAGTGTGAACAGCCCAACTGGTTAACATCGGCGTTAAAAGGAAGCAAGCAAGAAAATTTGGCACGCCTCATGGTGCCTCTGTATTTAATGTGAACCTGTCATTAGGACATAAATGAACTCTAAATTCTGGCATTTTATAGTGTGCCTTTTCAGGAAAACTGCCTACCCCAGCTTTACATATACTGATTTTTAACATTTGTATCTAAAAAATAGTTCACTTATGGGTCAAGATCCAGCTGACTGTAAAAAAACAGAAGAGCCTTTAACTTGCAGATTTCAGCTTGTATCAGACAGCAGCAAGCTCTGCCAACAGCTTCTAATATATTTTGAGCCAGGCTGGAAGAACTCAAAAACCCAGACTAAAAGATCAAATCTTCAATAATTACATCAAGCTAAACCAGTTATCATGTATGAAGAATAGGGCCCACAACTTCCTGTTGAGCCTTCTGGTGGTGTTGTGGGACCAGTTCAATGCCTATGATGGGCAGAGCCAATTCTATAACCACAATCACACACCTGTCTTAACCTGATCCTGTGTTGGTAAACCTAAATAGATTTTCACAGAAAATAGGACATGTACATCACTACAGTTAGCCCTGCATTCCCTCAGTTTAGTCACTGTGAACTGCCATCATTCTCCTGACCTCTGTCATCAATCATAGTTCTTGACCCATTCCTGTGTGTGGGCATGTGTTTGCTGTATGTGAGTTCAGGCTTACATGGAAGCATACAAGTAGGGTATGTACATAAAAAACACACATAATCATACACACGAGCATAACAGCAACAGTCTATCTGACGCAGCCCATGCTGCTCCATGCAAAGTCAAGCGTGTTTGTCCTGAAGACTATCAGCTCTCCGGGGAGAGAGGCCATTGAGCAGCATTATCGACATTATAGACGCCTCAGCCTGGAGATAGGCTTCACATCGATCCCCTGATTAATTACTATCTGCAGGCAGCAGCAGAGTGAGGGAGAGGGAGAGAGAGAGGTGGGAGAGAGAAAAGTGAGAGAGGGAGGTGAAAATGATAGAAAATGGGGAAAGGGGGGAAAGAGTGAGAGTGGAGGGGGATGAAGGATTGAGGAGAGAGAGGAGAGAGAGTACACCTTGTACAATCTATGAATATCAGCTAAAGGCTACACAGTAATCTTCCAGGTGGAATAATATTTTATTGATATATAGGTAGGCAGGAACCCTTATCTTAGCTGCAACCACCCCCTAACACACAGCCAAGGACAAAATGAAATTCACACATTACTGGGGTGGAAACAACTTGCAAAGACAAGTAGAGGACACTGAAATACCAACCATGGAAGTCCCATACAGGTTATACTTTACACTAAGCAAATAATAGTGACAATAATAAGAAAGTAAAAAAATATATGTAAAATATATTCTAGCCTGTGTGAGCATGGCTAAGTTAACAGTCAGAACTGGAACTGGTGTGGACAGGCAGGCTGAGTGGCTAACATTAATGAACTCCAGTTAGATCCTTAGGGCTACAATCCTCATCCTCCCAAGAGACTCTGTTGCACTGTGTGGAACATAAGTCAATAAGCTGTTACAACGCCAGTGTAAGGGCTCCATTAAGGCCAATGCTGAGGAGTGACTGGTACATTTGAATGGCAATATAGCTACTTTTGTTGAAATTGGTATTGTGTATCATTTTGGTTCCTCTAGTGTGTATGAGGGCTACCCCCTACAATTCGCTGAATTGTATATTCAGTGGAGAAGCCACGCAGTCAGACCTTATTTTGTCAGTCGAATCACTGCACTTTCTCCAGATTTTTAGCTGAGTCATTGAGCACTATGTAGGATAACTAGTCTTGTCTAAAAATCACCTGATAAAAAAACTAACTATAATAATAGAGAGATGAACGTGAGACGAAGGGAATATCAAAACAGTGCAACATGTGTTTCCTTTTGCTGCTCCAATGCATTCAGCCTCACTGCTAAATGCTAGTGAAGTTGGCAAAGCTTCTTTTGAACTAAAGATGTAACTGCTGCTATTGGTACTTCGGTTGAAAGTGCTGCCAGGAACCATACAAGGGGTATGATCCACAGTGCGCAATAATTATATTACTGATCTATGACCAGGATGCACGATTTTCATTTGTTTGACTGTGTGGAAATCAGATGTTTTCACATCACAGATGATGAACAAACACATTATGATGTGAGTCTAGCGCTGGCAAAAAATTAACAAAGACATCTCTTCAAAGAGAGAAATTAGTCTTTTGGGTGAAAGTCTTGTGTTTGTTTGACCCATCCACCACCTTGTCCAACTCCCTCTGCAGACTTTCTCGCTCTTCATACCAATGTTCAGCCACCTGTCCTCCTCCATCGCAGCATTACAAGAAACACTTTTATTTTATGGGTTGATAACGGCCTTTTGAACATACTAACTGATGTAGCAGTACCCTTCTAACCAGTATCTATGAGGCTGATCAGCAGTGATAACATTTGAACCAGGTGCCCACTTTGAGTGTGACACTGACAAAGGCTCTTGCTTTTCCATCCTATTCAGCTTTTTCTGGAAGCAAAATGGAAGCACTCCAACCTTAAGCAGTGTTAAAAACCCACTTGTATATTGTGTGACAAAGTTTAGCTCTAAGGTGGCCTGTATACTTGACTTGGCTCAGCTGCTGCTGATATCAGCTCCCATACATAATTGCTGCCCTCAACATTTCTTGTACATGCCGAACTACTGTATGCCCTAGAATACCACAGAGACCAACTGGGGGATTCAGGGACCACCAAATTCATTCATGTAACATTGTCAGACAGTATACCCCTTAGCTTTTGCTTTTATTGCTTGTTAGTTTTATTAATTGTTTTACATATTGATTTAAATACTTTTACTTTTTACTATGGTTAATTTCTTATTTCTGTTACTGCCACAATAAAAAAATTCATCCAGTAGGAGATGGTGGTTTTTTTTTTGTACAGATTAGTCAATAATGTGGAAGGGTAATACAGTTTAAATGTTGTTACTTTCATTCAATACCGGCACATCCCATTAGTGTGCCCTATATGTCAAGGCAACACAACACTAGAGCCTCCCACCACTCAGACTTGACATGTAGCCTGTTGCAGTTTAGTGTGAGGCTGCTGCTCTGCAGGTGCATTGGACTGCAGTGTAACTGAGCAGATGTGAATAATATATTTCACGTAATTGTAGGTATGTATGTGTGTTGACTGCAAAATTACATCAACAACAGTGATAATAATAATATTTAGACAAACATTTTTTAAAAAATCAATAAAATGACAAAAGCTGTTAAAAAATACTGGGAAGAAACTTACAGTGACAAAGAAAACCTTTAAATTTGAAATAAAGCTGTGTTCTACCTTCCACCCACTCCACTCACCCAACAAGAACTTTAAGGCTGTAGGCGTAGAAAGAGAGAAAGAGTTGTGCTGCATGGGTAATGAATTGATAATTGTCTATTATGCTAAATATCATCAAGTACATAAGAAAAAAACAGAATTATTTAGCTTGTCTAGTTGGAACATTAAAAGATGAGAAAACCCTCTTATTTAATATTTCATATGGGGGAATTGTATTAACTAGAGGGAAGAAAGAATTTGGTGCTTGTTGTTTCTGTTTGCTGTTAACATCTTTTGTGACACTGAAGATTTTCAAACAGTGGAAGAGAGAAATTCACACTGGAGGGGAGGAATGAGGAGAGACAAAGAGAAGTATCCATAAGTGTCTCTGTGTGGCCAAAGAAAAAGAGGAAAAGCAAGAAGGAACTAGCGAAGAGCAAGAAAGAGTAAGAACTGGTGTCAAAACACACTTTAGTGACTGGTTGCTGATCTGAGAGCAGCTATCAAACAGTGGAGGAAAGGCTGGAATGTCTCTGCTTGGTAATAAAGTGACAGTTGATCCAGGCACTGTTTGACTGTCTCTACCTCGGCATTAAGACAACAGCAGGCCAATTGTATGTGTGTGTGTGTGTGTGTGTGTGTGTGTGGGTGTGTATGAGTATGTGTTTGTAACTCTCTGGCTATTTTCCACCTGTCTGTGCATTTGTATGTGTGTTGCATTTGTGCGTGTGTGTGTTTGCGTATCAGTGCAGTGCACTTTTTCAATCCCACTGACCTGAAAAGCTCTGTTAATGCTGGATCCACAGGCACTGAGAGAGAGAGAGGGAGAGAGGGAGAGAGATTATGAAACAGGACTGACTTGTGAATGCTAAATCCACAGGCTCTTTGTATAACACATAAAAAAGGAACCTGCTGAATAGTTGATCATTGTGGCTTGTGATCTGCGTAGGTTTACCATGAAATAAATTACCAATGAAACACTTTGAGGTCAGTACAATGTAGAATTTTGTTGTATCTGTTTGAGCAACTCAATTGAAAAACAATATATTCCATTTCAGAAAATATCCTCGCCTAATGGCGATCACCTCAAAGATAAGAAAGCCAACCTGCGACAAACATTTCTTATACAGATCAATTTCTAATTAGTGTATAACCTTTGTCTGAAATAAATGTGAGCAGCATTTATTGAACAGCTGCTTATACAGTAGTTGTGTACATGTTTTTCAGTGTTTCTATTAAAGATGTATGGTATAAGATGAGAGGATTGACTGTGCATATTGTGCTCATTGTTTTTTTGTGTTATAAAAAAAACATGACATTATTAATATATTAATTTGTATTCATATTTTGAGTATTCGAAAACAGTTAGAAAAGAGATTAAAAATAAATAATGCAAACTGTGGGTAAAATCCAATTGAATACATTTAAAGAAAATGATGTGCAGTGGAAATATCTTGTAGCTTTTATTATTGATATTATTATCATGCGAATGTATTTTGTTTGTATTTTTTAACAACCCATTCTTCTTTTCCAGTGTCTTTTCCCCCACATTTATTCTGTACAATATTTTAGTTTTGGTGTGCTATAGACAATTTTCCCACTCATGGTGCACACTTGTTCATGTGTGAAATTATTCTAAAATGAACTACCATACATCAGTAGCCTTTTCCTTTAAGTGTGCACATGATAACATGTTGTTTTGAGCTCTAACATTTGAGACTGCGTAGACATGTGTACAGTAAACCTAACTGGCCTGTTTGGCATAACGCTAACACACAATAAAACACACACATAATGGCAGTGGTGAAATACTGTATGAGCTTCACCAAAGATAAATACTGTGATCTTGTTTTTAGGAGTTACAAACATTTAGGCTACAAAATAGGCTGTGTCTGAAGTCGCTTCTTATTGCCTGTATAGTGCACTATATTTACGGTTTGCTATTTTATTTGAGTGTCTGAATGCTGAGTGTGAAATGTATCTGCTTTATAGTGTTCTAAAAAATAGAGCCTTTCCACAGCAGACATTTTGACTTTTCAGAGCAAGTCAAGTCAAAATGTCTGCTGCGAGAAGGCTCTATTCTTACAATGAATCAAAACAAAAAAGTCCTAAAATATTGTTATATGTACACTGCTTTCTGTGAGCAATCCCACAATGCAATGTCTTGTATTTAATAGGTGTGGTGTGTCAGTGATGACGTAAAATGATGATGATTCATGAGTGTCGGATATGAAATTTTGATGCTAAATTACTGAGTTTTCTAATATAAAAGGAGTGAATGATGGAGTGATTTCAGACACAGACCTAAAGATGATTTCAGTGCCAGTCCTTCACTCACACGTTTGTTCTCTCTTTGGCCGACAAGCGGAGGACACTTAACTCAATCAAACAAAGGCCTTGTGGTCATAGCCTTCACTACACAGTGCTTGATCCACCTATTCTAAGAACAATGGTCACCACCTTGTTCTTTGTACGGTCAAAGATGTTAGAAACTTTCTAAAGTTAAAGGAAATAAAATATGTATCAAGAGGGTCATCTGATTAAACATGGTCAATTCCTTTTAGATGCCTTAAACCTGTGAGAGTGGACAGGAGGGTCGGTGGGGAGTAAGATTAGGGCTGGTGAGCATTTTTAGAGTTTTTTAGTTTTTATGGTGCAAGCACATAATGAGCATTCATTAGGGGTGTAATGGTACACAGAGGTCACGGTCCAGCTCATACCACTTCATAGCTCAGTGGCAAAAAAAAAACAAACAAACAAACAAATGCATAAGGATATGTTTCTTCTCAGTTATTTTGAAGGGACAGTAGTGCAAGTGTCAAATAAAGAAAAATCCTAACATTTTGCCCACTAGCAGCTTTGGTAAACTATTTTCATTATAAAAACAAGGATCATTTCACACACAAGCTATAAAACTGAAATGCTTCTCTTATGCTATGAAATTGAAAATACAGAAAACATGGAATATTGTAATTAAAAAAAAAATGAAAAGGAGGACTCTTTCAATTAGTTCCAATGTGGCTATGTTTAACACATGCAGAGCACTCAAACATTTATCATCTCGGTGATTGGCACATCTGGGGGATGCCACTGAATGTGTGTTGGCGTGTTAGACATGTTTCCATTCACATTCCCTACAAGAATGGCGCAACACCGAAACACCGTCCTTGTCTTACACTCAGCTCTCCCTCCGTTGCTGTTGAAACTCACTCAAAACCAGCTTACAGTTCCAGTGTTCATTTGCACTCACCATAGTGTGACTGACTCCCATGCCACTCTATTTGTTGCACTAACCCCAGCGTATGCCTCTTTCGTTTGTAAACTTCTGTTCTAGGTATATAACTTGCCTCAGTTTACATACCGTGTATTCTACGTATAGCTGTGTGCACCAGACTGTGACCCCCGTACTGTGATGGTTTGGTATAAATACACAAAGCCATACCAATCAAATGCCTCCAAAAGTCAGAAGAAAGCTAATGTTCTTCAATGTTCAGTGCTAAACCAACAATGAATTCCTCCCGCTTGATGCTGATTGTGGATGTGGCTTATGAGCACATGCTAAAATTTTTCCAGTTCTGTGTCCTCACATCCTGCAGGTTGGATCACTCACAGGTCTGCTACCCAGGTTAAATACCCTCTGTTTAAATTGCAGCCTCACTGATGCATAAGCTAAATATGAACCCGTGTGTTATTGCTCTTGATGAACACATCTGGTCGGGTGTTTTTAAATGTTCAGAAACAGGTAAATAATATCCACTGATGCTTTTTTGAATGTGTGTGTGTGTGTGTGTGTGTGTGTGTGTGTGTTTTATAAAGCTCTACCTACCACTAATAAAGATTTTGCCCTTGGTTATGTGGATATATTCACTGTAATCAAATCTTGTTAACACCTGTTTCGGAAGAATTTTTTTTTTAACTAATAAAATAAGAAAAAGAGTGTCACCAGTTTATCAGCTGAAACTGGGAGCTACCTGTTCTTTCCTTAAAAAAGTTCCATCATTTGTTTTCACTTTGTTCCATGTATCATTTTGTAGGATTAGATGTCACTGTGGTAGATATTTCATTTTGAACAAAGCTCTTAAAATGTGGACTTTGTGATTCTGTTTCTGCGAGATATATAAAAACAGCGTCAGAGGAAGACAGAGAGCAGTGAGAAGAGGCAACTCAACTGTGACAGTCTGGGATTTGTGCAGTGGTGTGTGTACACACATGTGCGTGCCTGTGTCTGTGCATGCGTGTGTTTGTGTTGGGGGAGTGAAGGTCACCCTGAATGGCAGTGCCGCTGTGTGTATGTGTGTGTGTACGTGCAGATACCTTTGGAGCGTGTTCGATGGCGCTTATCGTCTGCATCCACCTCCATCTGCAGAGAAGGCACAAACAAGCTGTTAAACACACAACAGACAGCACTGCAAAACTATCTTAATTTGGATACATGTTTCTTCACGTTCAGAGTACTTTTTTTCCCGCCTGTCAAACATGCAATTTACACCTGATGTTTGAAACACTTAAACGTAACATTTCATGTGCTGCACTGTAGAGACAGACTGACTGACTGTTCCTGTTATCTTAAATTATCTCTGAGTGAATGAGACCTACTGTAAAGATCTCTTGGCCTATACATCTGCCTTGCTGCATTTACATGAACATATTTCTTCAATCAAAAATTAGTTTTGAGTAAATCACTGCTTATAATATCAAAAGTGTCCTAAGTATTTCAGGAAGTAACAGATTATGCAAAGACTCCTATTTGGTCAAGACAGATTTGTCTGTCAATGAGGAAAAGAGATCTCCTTTCCAGGGGCATCAAAGTGGGGGGAAAGTGGGCCCCGATGGGAGAGGGGCCCTAAAAAAAGCCTGGAAAGTTGGGTTTCCTTTGTGGTATTTTATTTCTAAGTAAACACTGGCATGACTAAAGTCAAATTGGCTAGATATATTGATTAAAAGGCTGAACTTTGCATTTAAAAAACACTGAAAACTCTCTGAGGTTGCAAAATCATTTGCACTAGGATTTGCAGTCTCTTCCTTGTCTAACGTGGAGCCAAGGAAGAGACTGCTTTTGCTGCTGTGGCACCAACGTACACTGTCATGTCTTTCCCCGAGAAAGGAGAATCAAGAAAGAAAGAAAGAAAGAAACAAAGAAAGCATTTTGACTTGACTTTGACCAAAAGGTGCATGAGAGAGACATGAATCAAGAGAGGTAAGGTGGGGGGCCCACAGAGACTGCTTATGCATGGAGCCCAGAATTTGGTGCTAAGTCCCCTCTCCTTTGTTAATTCCAAAAAAATGTTTGAGGAAATGTTTTATGAATAACCACATATTCCATTTTTACAATGAATATAAGTTTGCATTTTGAAATCATGAAAAACGTAATTTCTGAAGTATTCATTCATCAGCTTCTCCATCCATCAATCCACCTATCCATCTGTCAAACCATTCGTCTGCTCATTCATGAATGTGCAACTATCTATCAGTGGCTTTACAGATGGACTGCAGACATAACAGCATCCAGCATTTACTGCATGGTTTCCATTTATGCTGTCTCCTCCTCAGTAGGCCTTTCAAGCTCTTCATATGCCAGAGTAAGCATTATCCTCCACTCCACCTCTCTTTCATGTATGCCAGACCTACATATCCCTCTTAAAGGTAGGCCTATATCTCCTTACCAACACATCATAAATTGTTAAGAAGCCTGAATGTCGCTCTGTTATTTCCAGATGTCCTGAATATTCATGCTCGCTGGGTTTGGACTATGACGGGGGCCGTAGACCTATTTGGATGTCTCTTTTTATTAAACATGATTTATTAACACCACACTTACTGTACTGTAGAGCCCCTCAGCCCTAATGGTGTGTTTCTTTATGAATGCCCATAAATGTTTCAGCGGGAGAAAAATAAAATGATGAAAGGCAAGGATACCTTGTAAATCTTATTAGCGTAGCAGGGAGGGAAAGACCCGGAGTATTTTGGGGAGGGTGACATAAAGTGCATAAAGCATAACTGTGGTTACCATGGCAATTGAAAAAAAAACCTTCCTTGAGGAAAAAAAGGAAGGAAAAACAGAAATAACTACTTATCAATCCATTTTTCTCCTCTCTCCTTTCAGGCAGTCATTCAGACAGACCCTGAACACAGACCACTGTGAGTGTGTACATATGTGAGTGCATAACCTTGAATGTTTCTGAAGTAGTCATGTGAGCAAAGTGGACTTAGTCCCCTCTCACTGAGCATCTCTCATCGGTCTCATCACTGCTCTGTTTTATCAAAGCTTCTCTGGAACAATCCACAGTACGGGCCTAAGTGATAGCATCCCTTCAACACGTGCAGTCGACTTTAACATGGATGAGAACATCATGTTGCATACGCAGATTTGTGCACATGGCACATCTTTTATGTCTTAACAGTTAGGTGTGACATTATAAGCACCCAGCCTTACATGTCTGTGTTCCCTGAGGCGGTAGCTAAGTCTTTACAGCATCCACAGCACACTTGTGCCACACATTAAAAACACACACAGTATGGAACAATTAATTCAATGTCCAGTTCATTTTAAATCTAAGCTTTAACACATTTTCTCTAGTGTAGTTACTGTCTACTCATTGCTGCTGTTTCTGTACCGAAATACCCAGAGATCACTTGTCAATCAATGTGGGAGGTAATGGTGTTTTTTCATGAATTTTAAAGTTTGAGTTTCTGTAGGTGGCGCTCTTTTCTTTCTCTATTTAGCCATGGGAGGTATTGTTCCTCCCACTTCTTCTCTAAACAAATGTCTTTTCCTGCTGTTAGAAAAACTTTCCTAACAGCAGCAGCATTTGTAACACACTAATTGGTTGGAAATAACCATTTGTTTATATAAAAACACTGCTGATGATTACATTAAAATACGTACATACTGGTCTGAAAATGTAATGAATGAAATATTGAGAAGAAGGGAAATTGTCTCAACCTGCTTGCAGAATGTTAAAAGAAATATATCATTTGTGGACTACGATATGAATGCATGTTTAGTTGAAGCACACACACACACACACACACACACACATATATAAGCATCCTAACAGTGCCTATCTGAAGCTGTCAGACTCTCTCTGAGGGGCCCTGGTTTTGAGCGAGGCCTGCATCAGCACTGAACACGGCGTCTACATCAACTGAATCCAGCAGCAGAATAAAACAACAAAAACGGCGGCAGCAGCAGTGTAAGTCTTGTCGCCTCCGTTTCCTTCCCTCAAGGCTCCTTGTGAGCGTTGGACCCAGGAAGCATGCACGCCTCTGCAGCTCACCATATGTTGGAGAGCCCTTCATAGTCTGGCTTTTTTTTCTCTCTCTCTTAGCACCCCATGGGAAAATGTCATGGCTGTAATGAAGGTTAGCCTGCTTATTGAGGATTAGGAAGAGGCCCACTCCTTCTCTGTCTGCGTCTCAATTAGACCCTGGATCAATGGCATTATAGGCCCAGATGAATAACCACGGAGTCACGTTGATCCAAGCACCAAAGTTTAGACTGGCTAGTTAAACATAATGAAGCACAGTCCAAAAGAAATACTGCATACTCTTGTTTTTCTACACAACCAGCAATTTATATTATTTCAACAAGACTTCAAATTAGTTGTACTTTAAAATTCATAGTGTTGCTGTGCAGTGAAAACCATGTGCCTCCAAATTGATTTTAAAATTTTTCAACTTTGGGTTGAGAGAAATCTCTTATTTCATAAACCATAATAAACCATTTATGAACCCACTGGATTATCTGACAAATGTGTTGTCAAACAGATGAAAACATAGCATGAAAGTGCTTTAATGCCATATACACTATGTATGTTTTCTAGGGATTTTCCTAACAACTAATTTCCCTTATGTGTGAACAGAACTTTAAACACAGACTAGCCGATGAGTCTAAAAGTAAAAAAACAGAGTCAAAATGAAGCACAATTAAATCTATAAGGTTAATTTTGTAAGAAAACGTTTATCACATTTTTCAAAAACAAAATTGTATTTTAATGCTGCTGAAATGTGTGGCACTTCACACCATGCGTTATGAACATTGCACATTATCTGTCATGGCAACATGACAGCTACTCACTCAATGAAAACAAATATACTGCCAAATCATGCAGCGATATGATCTTTGTCCCACTTTCCACCTCGCTATTTCTGTTTTGTGTTTTATGTTGTTTTTTTTTAAATTTGGTGTTGTCAACATTGCCAGTTAACGGGTGCTCATTTTGTTTAAAGAGAAACTTGACTAGGAAGACCACATTTCAGTGCAAATTATGTCAGTTTGTAGTTTAAATGTGTACATCAATAAAATAAAAATCTTAACATTAAGTTCAACTGACTAATTTTCTGGTGGCAACCAGTGATGGTAGCAAAGTTTAGACTAGTCGTCTGATTGCGCACATTCCTAATGTTTTATCATTTGTTTTTACAAACTTTTTTTTTTTACTTTTATTTTTTAATTATTCAACATTTATCTAACAGTTTTTCTTTACAGCATTTATAAACTTTAATTTACACTATAACAGCAATATTATTGCAACAATTATTAGTTTGATCCATCACTTTAGTTACAGTAAAGAAACTCTTAAATAAAATTAAATAAAATAAAATAATAATTCTAGGAAATATATATCTAATACCAGAAAGCAATTTTTCATTCTTGTACAAACTTAATGTTGGAAGTACTCAAGCAAGATGGAGGTATTTAACTTGTGTTGGAGTAATTCACCATTTCATTTCACACATGACCTCCACTGGGACTCAGTTGCTATATTCAAAACCAAGCACAAGCCAGCAGGTAATTAGCTACAAAAATCCGGTTGTACTTCATATTCCTATTTACCATTCATTGCCTCTAAATGTGTACGACAGAAGCTCTTTCCATGTTTTGTAATTTGCATCCATGAATTTTAATCCATGTGGCATATTATGCATCATATATTGTGTAAGGATATTATTCACATTCAACACATACAAGGGGTCTGGGAGGAGGTGGCTGCATGAAGTGAAGGCTGCATGCCATTTCAAATGCAAGCTATGGAAGCGAGTGTTTCATTCAGCACTAAGATGAATCCTCATAGAAGATTGGCATCCTTTGAAAATACATGCATGTTTGTGAATGTGATGTGGAATGCAGCTAAGCATTTTATGCAGCAAACATATTGGAAAAAGCAGCTGTCCAAATGCCAACTGTGTTTGTGTTGGTATTGATTGTACAGTCTGCATCAAAATGAAAACAATATGTAAATCTCTTCTTTGGAAATTAAAGTGGCGGTGCCTATTATTAGGTGTCTTCATCATTACATAGGACAGAGGAATGCCGTCAGACACAGACAAATTGCGTACACAAACAAGAAGAAGGTTATTGCTGTTTGATAAAGAAGTGGGATATTGCTGGGAATTACACATGATAAGAAATGCAGTGATTATTGTAATATGCACTGAGACACAGAACAAGCATTTTGTATGTGTGTGTGTGTGTTTATCATTTTAGTGGTGGTGTGTGCTCAGACATCTGTCACAACAATTCACATCGTTATCAGTTTCCCTTTGTTTTCACCTTGAAGTTTTGGGAGAATGCGTTTCAGGCATATGGCGCCCAACCCACACTCCGCCTCACACACACACACACACACACACACACACACACGCACACTCCTACCCTCACATTGGTATTCTGTACAGTGTGGCGGTAGAGAGCCACCAAAACTGCTCTGGCACTATCAAATTTCACTGCAAATAGGTATTTACGCCATGCATCATCTAGTGACAGTAAACATGTGTGCCAAACCGATGCTAAGTGCATCTGAATTAGTGTGAAGGGCTGTGGAGATAGCATCTGAGTGGGCGCTGACAGTCAGAGCGAGAAAGAGAGCGAGAGTGATGGAGACAGAAAGAGAGACTAAAATCTGGGGAGTGACTCCTAACTAGTATGGAAAATGGCTTTGGTGGGTGATGGCAGCAGTGCACGGCTCTAAAATGGTTAGAGTGTGAAAAAGCTGTGATCAGAATACAATACGACAATTTATCAGCTGGTCCAGTGACGACAGAGAGCTGTTACAGCGCAGGATGTGCAGGGTCTGTGATTGTTGCTTACATGATTGCCATATAGCCTGAGTGGATCATGTTGGATACTTTTCCTTTAGTAAAATCTTGATTCTATTGAGCTTGATTGCCTTTTATCTCAAACATTTCATCTTTGAAAACTTCATTGTCACAGCATTTATGGAGAAGGAAGAATGAACTAAACTGCTATTGGAAGTAAGATGTTTTATCCACTTTAGAAACAGGTTTGTATTGGGGGTCAGTAGAAAAAAACACCATCATATTTAACACATTAAAAAATTGATTTCATATTACCAAACATGCAGGTCGTGGAAACTTTTCATCTGGGCTTCTACCAATAATTAATAACAAAGCTATGGGAGACCTTCATGAACAAGGGTTCCCCTGTCATTTAGGTAACTTCAGATTAAATGCAGAATCCCCCTCTGAACATTTTTTTTGCTCTTACAGATCTTGTTAGCTATACTACACATTTTTACAACCTCTACCTCACTTCTCACTGTGTGGTGTATATAACTGATGTTCTCTTTTTACTCCTGCAATTTTGATATATTTATTTTATTACTGTATATTTCTCTTGTATATTTTAGATTTTAATACTGCTTATTTTTGTATATATTTTATATTTCTATATTGTCACATATTTCATTTTGATCTGTTTCTATCTATCTATCTATCTATCTATCTATCTATAAAACATAAATGAACATTGATGATGCAGCCATGCACTGAGAATTAAAGAGAAATGTAACTAATATATATTGATGAGGTATTGCTGAAGTGACCGACTCTGACTAACAACATGAAATATTTCAAAAACTCCATAACATTACACTCCAGTGTCTTTCTGTCAGATTTGTGTCTATTTTGACGGACAAACGCATGTTTACAGATTCATTTTAACACAGACATAAATGACAGAAATGCCTTCTGTTTGTTTTCTCTCCATTTTTTGATGGCTGGACGTAGCTAGGTGTTAGCTTTATCAAGTGTTAGCTTTAGGCCCTCACTACACAAATACAGATATTTTTTAAAAACGGATAGGTTTCTGTCCCTTGTCAACACATTAACAGAGTTTTGCATGAATAAAGAGATTTTGGAAAATGCCTCCTACTTAAATGTACAGATTTTTCAAAACTCTGGTTACATTGTGTTTTTGAGGACATGTAAAACGGATCATCTCCTCAGTTCATGCATGCCCATTGTTGCACTGTGTAATAGGCATACATCAGAAACAATGACAACAATGGCTGACTTCTGATTTATTTATGTTTTGTTAGCACTGCTTGACTACTTTACTCTTAAACTTAGTCGTTCTGCACCACTTCACGGATAACCAGAGCTGTCTACTGCACCCAGGCCCAGTCAAATCAGAGAGTGGGGTTGTTGTCAGTAAAGAGTGGAAGGGATACATTCATATGTCCAGCGCAGAACTCATATCTCTGAGTGAGCTCCTTCATTCGTGATGAGATCTCAAGTAGGTGTTATAAAAAAAAGGGATAACCATCATGGTGAGCGTCTGGGGTCATGTTTGTGTTCAATGTGGAGGGAGATATTTTGTAAAATGAAGGTCAAATGGACAGAATTTTTCCTCTAAACAAAAATAATTATCTGTATATCTGTAAATAGCTAACATAGCTTAATTAGGGACATTAACTATATCACGCATTAACTTTAAAATAGCTTTATCAGGAGCCTGGCTGCTTCACTGATCCATTACAAAAAAGAGAGAAAAGATAGAAGGTGTTATGTTTGTTTTTAAATAAAGCTGTAATGTTAATCAAGCATTTGTTCATCAAAACGGACACAAATCTGCCAAAGATGGCAGATTTAACTAACACTAATTAGCTGAATTAGCTGAGGTTGGAGAGCCACTGGAGTATAATGGACCACTATGGAGTTTTTGTATTATTTCATGCCATTGGTCAGAGACAGTGTGAAGTGAATCCTTTATTTTTTCACAACAGAAACTTGCTCCAGAGACAAACGAGACAGCATCACTTCCTGTTATTCATCAGGTCAGCTATGTTTCAATGTTAAAATTAATTGCTAACTATTTTTTAAATGGATTTTAATCAATTTAACTGATTAGTTATTGCAGCCTTAAATACTATTTTCTGTTTATATTTGAAACATCTATAAAATATAATGGAAAATGTGGCGATTCAAACTACTAAAATTTAGATATGTCACAAAGTCTGCACTGGAAGCAGTTTGTGAACTTGATCAAAAGACATTTGAACAGTATTAAGTGGACAACAGGATGTGCGTCACTACCTGAAAGGGTTTGGGGTTGAGACAGCTCTTTGGTCCAGACCTCTGCTTCCACCGTGACCTACTGACGTTCAGCTGGAGAGGAACGGCTCACCACGTCTCCTCCAAACTCATTTTCTACACAGAGGGAAGAAGAAGACGGTGCATCATTAAAATCATTTCCAAAACAATCACATTCACATACACCCATGACAGGATCTGAAATTTCCTCCTCTCCTTTGACTCTGGGCTCATGAATAGTCATATAGCATCAGCTATGCGGCACACGCCAAGCGAACGTTGATTTCCGCCATAACGACGGCCGCTTGTCGTGTGCGATAGGCTTGGCAACATGGGGTAATTAGCTAGATCTATCATCTTCTGCAGGAAGTGGGGACAAATATAGCTAATGATCCGTGCCTGCCTCCATGATTTCTCTCCTCAGCTCGCCATCCTTTGCTGAGTTAGAGGAGGAGAGGAGAAGGGAGGGAGAGAGGTGGAAGATGGGAGAGGAGTGAGTAAAGGGGCTGATGTCCTACTCTGTCAAAAAAAAAAAAAAAAGGTAGAATAACCTTTGACAGAGAAAATGATAAAGACAGAGAGGGAAGAGATGGAGGTGTGAATGAACATATGCACTCAAACACAGCCTGCGCACTCTGCCTGTCTTTGTGTCTCTCCATCCGGTGCAGCTAATTGAGAGAACGTATGGGAAAGAACAGATGAGGTGTTGATGGTGTATAGGGACCATCACAAAGAATGAAGGCCCCCATAGGGAGCCTACCAGACGGCCCATAACATGTACACACACACACACACACACACGCACATGCGCACACACACACACACACACACACACACACACACACACACACACACACACAGGCAGCTATTCCCAACCTATTTCAAAGCAGCTTAAATCAAAACAATAGCTGGTCCCTCAGGACAAACACAACCATAGGCATACAGCGAGTACTCAGAGTGCCTGTTGTGCGTTACGTAAAAAGGAGCGGTGGTGGTTTTGTGCATAAGCGAACTTTGCTTTGAACCAGCAGGGGGTCTTTTTTACCCTTCATCACACACACGCACACACACACCTCTGTTTTTTCACCTTTTTATGTCCACTTTCTTTGTAGAGTGAATCTTGAGCGTGGCCAAGCTGGAAACAGCGTGAGTGAGTTGTAAGGGGATAGCACAAACAACGGGCCACTCACACTATATTTTCGTTTTACGACTATGTCTTTAATGTCTTTAAGAATGGCATCAAAATGTGGTTTGAATTTGATTATAGCCACAGCTGCACCTGGAAAACATTTTCATTCAGAAAACAAGGGCAGTAGAGCCTGACATACCTTTTCTGTGGACATGCACCTTTTTTTTTACCTGCACCAAAAATGTTTTCACTGCACCATTTGGTACTCTTATCCTTCTTTATTCACAATTCCACCATGGCCACACATTTTATATGGTCAAAGTAACACTTGAGCAGCTTCTTAGCAGACCTAATATGGACACAAATTTTCTCTTCATCAAATTTCAACATCTTTGGTGACTGTTTTTCTTCTAGAGGAAGCACTAAATCCCATATGAAGAGGTGTCTCCTGTGTGTCTTGAATAATGATACATTTTGGTAGTAAATCCAAGTCTCTAGGAGACATTTCATATTAGAGTGCCAGTATTTTCTATTAAAATATCTATTTAAAAATAATTACACTACACATTAACAATGAAAATACATGTGCTGCATGAGACCAATTCAGAATAAGTTTTTAACCATAATTTTCACTAATATTGGCAAGTCAGCATGACGGTGTTGAACAAACATTGGCTTTGTCTTATTTAAAGAGTAATACATTGACGATCCCTCAGTCTGCCCCCTGCAGTCAAACGGAGGGCTGGAAGGTGAACTGCCTGTCCTCCTGCTGTCAACATCGGATGAAACTAGGTAAGAACACACCAGTGGGTCTGGAGAGAAAGTCAGTCAACTTAAAATGAACTTCACCACGGTGTGGCAGTCGCAGCTGGCATAACCACAGTCTTTTACAGTGCTGCTTTATTTTGTCTTTTGTTTATTTTATGTGCACCACCATGCATATGCACATGGTATTTTGAGCCCTTGGTGGTAAAACAAAGTCAAAGTGCTTTTGAGCAAGGGTAGCTAGAAAAATATAGATATATATATTCTGGCACATTTGTGATATACTTCTAACTGCTTTTACCCCATAGCATGACACACACATACACGTACACACACTCATCCCTTGCCCACTGGTCATTATAATCAGGGTGTAAGTGATGGGTCTGTCCTCTGATGAAGGTCTTCATGTGGAGGCTGATGACAAATCACAGCTCTCTGACTGTGTGTGTGTGTGTGTGTGTGTGTGAGTGTGTGTGTGTCGGGAAAAAAAAGGGGGGAGGACAAGAAACAGAGACAAAAAGACAAATGAAAAATAACAAGCAGGAAGAGTATAACTAGAAAACAGCAGAAGATGTTGCACTATTGAACAATACAGCACGCTTTGGTAGTATTCAGTGTGGTTGTATTTAATGTGTGTTTGTGTATGGTACTCCAGCCAATGCGCAATGATACTGGTCTGGTCATTTCAGCACCAAGGACAGTGACAGACAGAGCACAGTAAGGGAAGAATGGGCCTTCAATAGCAATGGTAGCACACTCACAGGAAGGCAAACATACATGTTATCTCAAGGTTTATACAATCACACATGTAAACAGTCATTTATAGATGCGCACGTACTCAAGCTATTCTTATTCTTCTCCTTAGTTACAAAGGAATATAAAGGAATATATACCAAGGACTGGTAGAATTCTTTTCAGCCAAGAATCCTACAAGTGTATGTGATTTTCTTATAGTCTTTTCCTTGGAGAATGACAGGGGACCATGCCTGCCCTTTACTGGGCTCCTATATCTATCAAAGCCAGGATACACACTGTAAATAGCCTGGCACAAACACACACACAACTGTAATGAAAACCCTATTGTATTGGTTATGTACACTGCAGTACGGAAAGTGGGCTATGATGCCCGCTGTGACATTTTCTATGACACATACTGTACATGACAGGCATTTCACGTGCACACACACACGGAACACAAAATCACACCCGTCTTTACAAAGAAAAACACATATGGCACATGAGGACAAAGGGCACACACAAATAAGCGCATATTACAAGAGAGACACATGCTTTATTCATGTGATGTGTATGCACACACACATACACACACAGCAATCTCTTTCTCCCAGGCTCTGAGAGTGACTGGGGCTGCCTGACCTACATTCTAGCAGATATGTGTACAGGCAGAGAGGAGATGAAATCTCACTCTCTATTGCTCTCCCTCTCTCTGTTCCATATCCTGTGTTCTTTTCTGTGCCTGTCCATTGCCTCTTGGACACACACACACACACACACACACACACACACATATGCGCACACATACACACAGTTGAGGTGAAGTAGCGACTATGATTTCTTAGCCTGAATGCCCTCGTGCTGCTGCTGAAACTAGCATTGTCAGAGTATAGCTACATGTGTTTGATGGATGTCAGACTGAGGTGAGAAAAGGATTGCTGTCTTTCCTTTGCTGAGTACAGTATGGAAGATCCTCAAACCACCTCATGCTCCCCCTGTATGTAAATAAAATATTTAGGTCCCCCAAAATACTGCAAAGCAAGCAAGTGGTCCGAAGGCCAGCCTCTCAGGGAAACAAATGGTGAGGTGAGAAGAGGGGCGTGATGGAATCCAAGTAGAGAACAAGATAAGTTGATGAGGTGAACCTAAATTAATGTCCGCTTGTGTACATGTGTGTTTATTGGGTGATGGTCTGTTTGTTAGCTGGTCTGATTAGCCAGAGAGCAGGAGATGGGATTGGTCAGATAATAAAGCCCGCTGGCAGCTTTATCTATTCCTCCTCACACTGTCCTGTGGAAATCAATGCTTCCACTGGACTGGACTGCAAACACAGACTAAGGTAACAGATAAGAAGCAGTACACATTATCATTTCTAACTTAAAGGTATCATTTGGGCCCACACCCCTCTATCTCCTAATGCAACAAGAGTGGTCTTCATTTGTCCAGGTGTGCAGAGAGCAGATCCATTTCCATGCTTCATGCCATATTTTGACTATTTTTTGTTATTTCAGCTGGCAGTCTGTTCAGAGTGTCTGTCTAGGAGTCTCTCCAAGGCCAGACAGCACAGAGGTTAGTAATTCAAAAGGGTTTCAGTTTATAAAAAAGACCTGATCCACTATATCCCTGAACTAAACCACCCCAACCCTCTAAATCCCACTGAGGCATTACACTGACCACACTGTCAAAACAGTGATACAGCAGAAACCAGCAGAAGAAATCCCATGACCCTGCATCTAGACAACTTTAATATTGCAGGATTTTTCCCAACAAATCCTCTTGCGAGTAGAGAGAAAATACAACAGAAAGCATGTGAAACCCAGTTTCCTAAAACTGTTTTTAACTATTGAGTGGTTTCATTATAGACATTTTTATGTCAAAATCATTTTCAAGTCATAATGGCATTTTTCCTAAAGCCACTTTTCATGACAGTGGGTTGTCGCCAATGCCTGGCCCCTCAGTTTCCTGCCTAGACCCCAAGTTTCTCTTAGCGGGGTCAGATCTGTGCTGCCATCTAGCCAGCTAGCTCCTGTTGGCTATTGCAACCAATGTGAAAATCTTTTAACTCTCTGCAAAGTTGTTTATCATTCTCTAAGCAACATCTTCAACACGTCACATTACTGCTCAATTAACAAGGAAGCCTCTGCTGCTTACACTGGCTCTTCAGTTTGATGTGAATTAATGCGCTCACAAGCCAACCTGTCTTAGACGGGTGGCATATAGCTCTGCTAAACTACATGCAAGCAGAGATTATTTTTTGTGCTTCTGCACCGCATCTATTTACAGTAGCATCTAATTTGCTGATAGAGTTTACGTTGACATTGCTGTTGCCCTTGCAAACAAGAGCTATTGTAGCTGGCAAAACCTGGCAGCAGTTGTTAAGCCCTGCTAAAAGAGACTTGAGGCATTTAGTCGGCTGAAAATTGAAGGGGTTTTAAAGTCTGCTGTCATGGAAAGTGGGCGCTATGAAATAAAAGAGTCACTGGGAAAA